TGGACATTCATGGGCAGGGACTAACTGTCATCAAATCCACACTGGAACATCCAGGTTTTTAATTCCCTGCGGAAGGCAGGCAGAGTGGGGGCTAGCCTAATCTTGGTGGGAGTTCCAGTGGTGGGAGTTCCAGAGCTGTGGGGCAGGCATCATGAAAACCCTCTCTCTCGTCCCTACCAACCGTGCTTGTGATGGTGGCGGGAGTGAGAGGAGGGCCTCTTTAAACCTGCACAGGCTCATAGGGGAAGATGTGATCGCGAAGATAGGCAAGACCCAAACTGCTTAGGGCTTTGTAGATGATAACCTGCACTTTGAATTAGGACCAGAAGCTTATCGGCAGCCAGAGGAGCTGCTTTACTTAGTGACCATTGAAATATAGATACAAACCATGGAACTGTATACCGTATGATATACCATGAGATAGAATTCCTCTGTTTCCTCACTTTACTTATTCACCATGGAAAAGTATTTAAACAATTATACCAAACCATTATTGTTATTTGAAGAAGGAAATAATGTTTATTGCTTTTTAAGTGAGCTTCATAAGATGACACAGTGTCATTTACACAAATGCATTTAAAATTACCAGATCTGATGATGATAGAGACTTATGTTCCAGAATACATATATTTTATGATTAGTATGTGTACTGTAATTTACATAGTTAGCTTACAGCAATAACTAGGAATACTATTGTTATGAGGGAACAGATGAGCAGAGCAATCTGAGGTGGCAAACCCAATGGAGACAAAAACAGAGAAGTTCTCATCCTGGTGGGTCAGTGAGACCAATGGTTCTTCAACTTCAAAGAGTTGAAACCAGACAGACTCTGCCACTAGATGAAAGGGAGAGAAAATTCCAAATGACAGCTGTTGAAGAAAGAAGCACCACAAAGGACTCTCCACAATACACACCATTAGAAAATAATAACATTTGTGAAAAGTAATGTTCCCATTTCTGGCTTTAAGCAGCAACATCAGCTGGGCATGGAGTAGATCAAAAGTTGATGGAGAAGACCCTAGAGTCTAGAATTAGCTGACAAGTGGCAAGGACTCTCAATCCCTCAGTGTAAAAGATATGGGTTGGGAATCATACCTGTTTCACTGTGTGTCCTGAAGGAACATTTGGCATGTATTTCCTTAGATACAACAGATCTATGGTGGTGCCTGCATTATGGAATTCTTAGGCACAGGCATCCTGGCTACTTTTCAAGAGGTTGCTTCAAACAAAAGCATTTCAAATGCTATTGATTTACAATGTGTCCCTCTGTCCCCATGGATTTCATTATCCATGGTTTGGGAACATTTTTTAAAAATTCAAAAAGGAAAACTTGATTTTGTCATTTCATATAAGGAACACCATCCTGGAACCAAACCCGAGCAGACACCAAGGGTCCATTGTACATGAAATGTCAAATGGAGGAACTGGGTTGAACTGCTATATAGAAAATGGCCAGAAGATATGACAATGGTGACACAGTTGGCATATTCAGCTAACCTCCATGCTCAGGGCTTTGTAACTTTGGCTAGCTGGGACTTTTCCCTTGATTTCCTGCTATGTTCATATTAAGCAGGATGGCAGAAACTTGAAATTGGGAGCATCTGGCTAGATAAGCTTGCTACCACAAATGAGTAATCAGCTATGAAATGTTTCATAAACATAGATAAAAGTGGCGAGTCAGGGTATCTAAATAGTAATAATAGGTAAAGGTAAAGGTTTTGCCATGACATTAAGTCAATTTGTGTCTGACTCTGGGGGTTGGTGCTCATATCCATTTCTAAGCCTGTAGACACCTCCTAGATCATGTGGCCGGCATGATTGCATGGAGTATCGTTACCTTCCTGCCGGAGTGGTACCTACTGATCTATTCATATTTGCATGTTTTCGAACTGGCGCTAACTGTAGGAGCTCATCTTGTTCCCCGGATTTGAACCTGTGACCTTTCAGTCAGCAAGTTCAGCAGCTCAACAGTTTAACCACTAACAGCTAAGTGGTTTATTATCAATAATAATAATAATAATAATAATAATAATAATAATAATAATAATAATACTTTATTTCTAGACAGCCCTCTCTCCCTGAGGGGACTCAGGGCAGTTTACTCATAGGGAAAAAAGGCAAACATTAAATGCCCTACGTATATACAAACACATACAAAATAAAAGTAATACATAATAATGAGAATAAACTTATAACAAAAGAAATTAACATCAAAATGAAATCAAAGTAAAAATAATCCAATAAGACATGATAACACTCATAACATAAATTAACATTAAAACATGTACCCTATAAAGCAATTAAAATGCATTAGAAAAGGCTATCGCTGGTGTTCAGTTAGAGTGTATCTTAGCTGCCATGAGGTGGCATAGGTTAGCCTGTGACCTGATGGCATTAATTTAAAGTGTCCTAGTCCTCCTCCTCCTCTTACGCTAAAGTGCATAAGTGCATCTTCAAAAGTTTTTTTAAAGGAGTGGCGGGTGGGGCTGTTTTTATTTCTTTAGAGGGAGGAAGTTCCAGAGATGGGGAGAGATCACAGAGAAGGCCCCCTCTCTCGTTCCCACCAGCCACACTTGAGATGGGGTGGGACAGAGAGTAGGGCCTCCTCGGCTGACTGCAGTTCACAAAATGGCCTGTATAGGGAGATGCAAATGGACCTGGACCGTTTAGGGCTTTATAGGTAACGGCCAGCACTTTGAATTTAGCCTGTAAGCGGACTGGCAACCAGTGGAGCTGCCGTAGCACGGGAGTGGATGCAATTAATTAAGATTTTTCTATGAATACACATGCAGGCCAAAGATAGACATGGCTATCCACACACAGTCCAGTGGACTTCCATACAATTGTACTTGTTGGCTCATCTGGTTCCTTCTGTGTAACCTGTTTGAAGTTCCCTAAAGAAGAAAACAAGATCATCTGTCAACAAAGCACTACCATAGGGAAATAAAAACTGCCACATATCTACTCTCCAGGAAGATTGCTCTTTGACAAACGGAAGGAGTTTAGATACTGATATAGGTGGTGCTTCAGTTGAACTCAATCTTGAACAAAAGTACTTCAGCTTTCCCAGGTTACTAAGGCTCCAGGTAACACTTTGTGTATTAAAAGCTTCAGATTCAGAACCGGGCTATACATCATCTGACAGATGACAGGCAGAGATGAAATATTTCTTACAAACCTGAATCAACTAGGGGATATTTTGTTTTCTGGAATCCTGTATTATTGGCATGAGAAGGGCTTTATTTTATCCTAGCAACTCTAAGGATATAATCGATGAAAACTAATTAAGATTGGTACTTTCGGATATTAAAAAAAATGGACATGATACCTATGACTGTAAACAAACGAATTTGGAGTATGTGTTGGCTCATTTCACACTGTTCACATCAATTCACTGACCTGTTAAGTTTACAGCTCCTGGATTTATTTTCTCTATCAGCACCAATGCTATCACTCTGGGAACTTATTTGGAGAGGTCTCTCTGATAATGAGCCAATATAAGTGTCAATTGGATGAGGCATGGGCCCATCTTACCAGCACATCTGAGCTAAAGCAATTTATGAGGCAGGAATATTATTTCCCATAAATTAAAGAATCTAATGTTATCCCAAGTTTATGAATTAGCACTTCATAAACAAACAAATCACCGTTTTCCTCATTTGCTGCCTGATCTAGTACCGAATCTGATGTTCTGATGAACTGAAGGCTAATGCTGAAGTTATGAGATTTGTAGACACCTCCAAGGTCGTGTGGCTGGCACGACTGCATGGAGCGCCGTTACCTTCCCGCCAGAAGGTAACCTATTGATCTACTCACATTTGCATGTTTTCGAATTACTAGGTTGGCAGAAGCTGTGGCTGACAGTGGAAGCTCACGCCGCTTTGATTGTAGGTGAACTATAAATCCCAACAACTACAACTCCCAAATGTCAAGGTCTATTTTCCCTAAATTCCACCAGTGCTCACATTTGGGCATATTGAGTATTTGTGCCAAGTTTGATCTAGATCCACCATTGCTTGAGTTCACAGTGCTCTCTGGATGTAGGTGAACTACAACTCCAAAACTCAAGGTCAATGCCCACCAAACCCTTCCATTATTTTCTGTTGGTCATGGAGGTTGTGTGCCAAGCTTGGTTCTATTCCATCGTTGATGGAGTCCAGAATGCTATTTGATTGTATGTGAACTATAAATCCCAGCAACTACAACTCCCAAATGTCAAGGTCTATTTTCCCTAAACTCCACCAGTGTTCACATTTGAGCATATTGAGTATTTGTGTCAAGTTTGATCCAGATCCATCACTGTTTGGGCTCTTAGATTGTAGGTGAACTATAAATCCCAGCAACTACAACTCCCAAATGTCAAGGTCTATTTTCCCTAAACTCCATCAGTGCTCACATTTGAGCATATTGAATATTTGTGCCAAGTTTGGTCCAGATCCATCACTGTTTGGGGTCTTTGAATGTAGGTGAACTATAAATCCCAGCAACTACAACTCCCAAATGTCAAGGTCTAGTTTCCCTAAACTCCACCAGTGCTCACATTTGGGCATATTGAGTATTTGTGCCAAGCTTGATCTAGATCCATCACTGTTTGGGCTCTTTGATTGTAGGTGAACTATAAATCCCAGCAACTACAACTCCCAAATGACAAAGTCAACCCCGCCTCCAACCCCACCACTATTCAAATTTGGACCTATTAGGTATTTGTGCCAATTTTGGTCCAGTGAATGAAAATACATCCTGCATATCAGATATTCACATTACGATTCGTAACAGTGGTAAAATGATAAGTTATGAAGTAGCAACGAAAATAATTTTATAGTTGGGGGTCACCACAACAGGAGGAACTGTATTAAGGGGGTCGTGGCATTAGGAAGGTTGAGGAAACACTGCATGAAGGTCTCACAGCAGTGTGGCTGCTCCCTCCGTTTCCGTCGCCCAGAGTGACAGGGCCAGACCGGAAAAGGGTGGCCCCGCCTCCCCATTGGCGACCCAACTGCGTCTCTTTGCGTTGAGGAAGGAGGAAGAGGAGGGCCGGGCTGCTTGGAGCGGGAATTGCGAAGGCCATGGCGCAGGCCGGCGCTTCGGGAAGGAGCCGCCCGGCTTTCGAGCTGCAGGGGCTGCTCCTGCCGCTGAAAGACGAAGCCGAGGACGACGAGGAGGAGGAGGACGACGGCCACGAGGTCGAGCCCTTCGATGTCGTTTCCGAGGAGTCCAGCCAACTCCTCAAACCCCCGCGAAGGAGAGGTATAGAGAGAGAGAGAATGTGGACTCAGATAACCCAAAACAATGCAGATATTGTGGGGTTTTCTGCTTTGATATTGTGGGTTACATAGCTGTGTGGAAAGTCCCTGAGTCCCCATTCAAATATTGTGGGATTTTCTGCCATGATATTCTGGGATATAGGGCTGTGTGGAAGGGCCTCTAGTGCTATGGAATCCTGGGAGTCGTAGTTTGGCGCGCTTTGGGCGAGAAGGCGAGAGACTTTGCAAAACTACAACTCCCACTATCCCCATGGCACTTAAAGTGCACCCAACTTCATTGTGTAGATCAGGCATGGGCAAACTTTGGCCCTCCAGGTGTTTTGGACTTCAACTCCCACAATTCCTAACAGCCTCCAGCTTTTTCCTTTCCCCCCTCAGCAGCATCTACACCAGGCATGGGCAAACTTTGACCCTCTAGGTCAGGGGTCCTCAAACTTTTTAAACAGAGGGCCAGGTCACAGTCCCTCAAACTGTTGGAGGGCCAGATTATAATTTGAAAAAAAAAATGAATGAATTCCTATGCATACTGAATGAATTCCTATGCATACTGCACATATCTCATTTGTAGTGCAAAAATTTCTTAAAAACAATACAATAATTAAAAATTTTAACAAATACAAACATTAGTATTTCAATGGGAAGTGTGGTCCTGCTTTTGGCTGATGAGATAGCATTGTTGTTGTTGTGTGCTGTCAAGTCTTGTCTGACTTAGGTTGACCCTGAGTGAGGGCCGGGCCTTGGTTTGAGGACCCCTGCTCTAGGTGTTTTGGACTTAAACTTCCACAATTCGTAACAAGGAATTGTGGGAGTTGAAGTCCAAAACAGCTGGAGGGCCCAAGTTTGCCCATGTCTCGTGTAGATGTCAAAGTTTTCCCATGCCTTCCTTCTCTGGATATAGGGATGAATCCAAACCATTATAGTAGTCTGATCCCACTTTATAAACTGCCGGGGCTGTGTCCTGTGCGATCCTGAGATTTGTAGTTTGGTGAGGCACCGACACTCCTAGGACCCTTCTACGCAGCTGTATAAAATTCAGATTATCTACTTTGAATTGGATTATCTGGCAGTGTTGACTCAAGGCCCTTCCACACAGCCATATATCCCAGAATGTCAAGGCAGAAAATCCCACAGTATCGGAGTGTGGACTCAGATAACCCAGTTCAAAGCAGACATTGTGGGGTTTTCTGCCTTGATATTCTGGGATATAGAGCTATGTGGAAGGGCTCTGGGTTATCTGAGTCCACACTGCCATATATTCCAGTTCAAAGCAGATAATGTAGAATATTATTCAGCTGTATGGAAGGGACCTCAATCTAGAAAGAGTTTCCAGAACCAAGTAAAGAACCCTCTTAGGCTGGATCTACACTCCCATACAAAATCTGTATTATCTGCTTTGAATTGGATTTTATGGCAGTGTAGACTCATATAATCCAGTTCAAAACAGTTATGTAGATTTTTTTTCATGTCAGAAGTGACTTGAGAAACTGCAAGTCGCTTTTGATGTGATAGAATTTGCCTGATTTGATAATCTGGATTATATGGCAGTGTAGGTCCAACCCTAGGGAGTTGGGCAGGAAGGACTGGAATGGTTCAAATGATTGCTTTCAGGGCCGGTTTATGCAATAGTGGCTTTAACAGTGGAGAAAGGGAGCACAGAATATAATAAAATATCCCCAAAAGGCAGCTTATGATTCTTAAGCATTATTTACGTGAAAAGATCAGTTGGAATGCATAACAATTCTGATTAAGATGTGTTGTCTGGTTAAAATAACAACTTTGGCATTGTCGCAGGAAGTCATGACTCACTTAAAAAGGCAGCAACACTTGGCAGTAATAAAAAAGGAAGACCGCCTTACAGATGGCTAGATTTGAGCAAGCTTTTTTTCTCGCTGCCCTAGAGACTAGGATGCAGAACAATGGCTTCAAACTACAAGAAAGGAGATTCCATCTAACATTAGGAATAACTTCCTGACTGTGAGAGCTGTTCAGCAGTGGAACTTCTGCCCCGGAGTGTGGTGGAGGCTCCTCCCCACAGATACCAGATCAGCTTCTTCCCTTCTAACATTTCGAAAAAAACTCAAGACATGGCTTTTCGAGCAAGCGTTTGCAAATACAGAGTAGCTGACATAGGAAAATTGGAACTGGACAATGTTTTAATAAGGATTAATTAATGACTTATGTTTTATTGCTGTTGTTATGATTTTATTAGTGAAGGTGTCACCAACATATCTGGACCATATAGTGGGCTTTTTTGTTGCCATTTCCAGTGCTTGTTTTTCAAAGTGTTCCATGTAGAAATTTGCTATGACGGGGCCGAGAGGGCTCCCTATGGCTACTCTATCTTTCTGTTTATAGAATTCATTGTCCCACTGGAAGTAGCTTGTGGTGAGGCAATGGTGAAACAGGGCTGTGACGTCTTCTGGGAAATTCTGGTTGATTATTGTGATGGTTTCTCCTACCAGGACTTTGGTAAATAAAGTCACCACATCAAAGCTGATCAGTTTATCATTAGGGTTGAGTTTGAGGTTGCTGATTTTTTCTATGAAGTGGGTTGAGTCCTTGATGTAGTGCCTAGTGAGCCCAATATGGGTTTTATAGCTGTGCGGCCAAACATTTTGCCAAATCATATGTGGGGGATGCCATGGCACTTGATGGGTCTGAGCCAGGTGGAGTCCTTATGGATTTTTGAGAGTCCAGAAAGCCTAGGTGGGAATGCTTCCGATTTGCAGTTGGCGTATGTCAAGGTTAATTGGCAATTTTTTTTCTTTTTTGAAAAATTAGGGTCAGCCATCTTTGCAGGCTTCCCTTATTTCCTCTTGCTCCACCAAATATTGAAGATATTTTATACTAAAATAATATAAAATACTATGAATTAGTTCTGAAAGACACGCTATTAGGATTTTTTATTTTGCTAAACAAGTACAGTACTTAAGAGAATCTAAAGCTTGCATGGATCTAAGGTGCATCTACATTGTAAAATTAATGCAATTTGACCCCACTTCCCTGGCCCTGTGTTATGGAATCATGACAGTTGATAAAGTTTCCCTTAAAATAACCCATTCATAATTCTAAAAAGGTTATTTTGCATGTTTCTTGACTTCTTAACATTTCAGATTTGTTTTTTGATTTCTCAACATTCACAATTTCTTCATTGGCATACACAAAAAGAAAACTGGGCCAGATGGGTGGAGACAGGAAAAAAACTTGTTCTATTTCTTCACATTTCTATTGTCAGTTTGGAGATAACATCAGTTTATAATGTGTTTTTTTTAAAAAAAATGTTTCTTAGACTGTCAGTGTTTTGTAATGAAGTTGCATCTATTATCACACATTTTAAAGAGGAGTTAATATTTTATTTATTATAAAACCAGCATAATTCAAGACTGTATTGACAATCTCCTTGTAAATAATTGCAGTTAAAATACAGGATGCAATAACCAAAAAGGATTATGAAGTGGTTGGACGGTTTGTCTTCATCGGTCCTTGGTGGAAAGTGAATGTAAAAGTTAAACAGTCTGGATCAAAGTACTATATGGATGGCTATCCGTCTTACTTTCTACAGACTGATGCAGGGAGAAACCAAAAAGCAGTCGTTTCTCTTTTCTTTAACGAATGTGGTGTTCCTGAACCATTACGAATTGCATTTTGGGAGTGGTTTCCTAGAGGGTCTTCTCTAAACATTACGTGTCTTGAAGAAACACTAAATCAATTTAAGACGTCAAAACTTGCAGAAGAACAAGTATCTACAGACCCCAAAGAATTTGACATTTTTGATTATATTGAAAGATCATGTAAGTATACACATATATCATTTATTATTTGTTAATTATTACACTGGTCTTAATTTAATTAGAGAAATCTGAGTGTGTTAATATATGTCTATAGTATGATATAGAGCTTGATTTCTATTTATTCTTCTTAGTAATGTGGAAAAAAGGGTTGAATCATTTTTCTTTCATAAATTTAAATTCATGAGCATCATATCTGGATTGTTTTTTGTCTGTTGCTATCTTACATGCTGATATATAAAACGGCCCCTAAAGCAGTGGTTCCCAACCTTTTTTTTTTGATCAGGGACCATTTGAACAGGGACCACTTTGACCAGGAACCACTCTCCAACATTAGTACCAAAAGGGTTACAAATCCGTTTTTGTTTAACTTTAGATTCGGTTTGGTTATTTGGGTTGCTGATTCAGAAAATTGCATTGGATAGACCACATCAGCTCTAGTTTCTGATACAGAACATATGCCCTCCAGTAGTCGCCATCTGCTTGCTATTCCTGTAATTACATATCACTGACTATCATAGGATTAGTGAAACTGGGCTTGATAGCAGTTAGTCTTATAATGCCAAAAACGAGGTCTATCACTTTTACATAGATTAATATTGTTCTCATCCTTTTAAGCCAAGACATGTACAAAGCTTTTATATGTGCCCCGTGTCCTTTTATTGTCATATTCCATTTTCTGTGCAAACACTTCCTGGTTTGATTAATATTGATTATTTATGAACATTTGAAGTCAGTTACATTTAAGATTTAACATGAGGGTTATCTGGAAAGTCAGGTTACAAGATTTTTTTAAAATACAAAGAATGAATATATTTTAATAAAACTTACAAGGATTGTAGCATAGGTATTACATTAATTTTTCCACATAATCACTATTCAGTTCAATACATTTTGTCTTACGTGGGATGAGTTTTTGATGCCTGTGTTATAGAAATTTCCCTTTGCCTTTTTTCAGCCGGTATTGTAGTTGGAAAAGTGTTTTCCACCAAGGTGTTCTTTCAGTTTAGTGAACAGATGACAGTCACTGGGTGTGAGATTGGGGCTGTGACCAAATGAAGTTAACAACTTGTGCTGCATGAGCGGTGTGTGGACATGCATTGTCATGAAGGAGACTCCAGCATCCCATGACGTTTATTTTGGATGGTCCTGTGAAGTTTCTTCATGGTCTCACAATATATTCCGTACCCATTTTTGCACATCCTATCTTGACATTACGTCTCTCCATAAACTGAAGTGGCTTGAGAAACTGCAAGTCGTTGTCTGCAAGGACATTGCCCAGGGGACACCTGGATGTTTTTGATGTTTTACCATCCTTGTGGGAGGCTTCTCTCATGTCCCCGCATGGGGAGCTGGAGCTGACAGAGGGAGCTCATCCGTGCTGTCCCTGGATTTGATCTTCTGACCTGTCGGTCTTCAGTCCTGCTGCCACTGAGGGGCTCGATTTCGCGATGAATCTCAGCGGCATTGATGCCTTTAGCATTTAGGTACTTGGAGGGAAACGAAATAAGGATGCTCATCTCTAACCTTCACCACAACACCAGTTGATAAGCTACTGACCACTGATAAGCTTCTGCTGGCTTCCTGCTACACAGCAATGATACCAACTTCTCCCGAGAACATTCCCTGCGAGAGCTATGTGCCTTGTAACCTTACTTTCCGGATAACCCTCATAACGATAACAACAACTAAAATAAGTAGTACATTTACTGTAGCTAAGGATAAGGAACTCCATAAGAACTGCATAAGAACTGCTCCAGGAAATATAAATATATATATATATATATATATATATATATATATATATATATAAAACTAAAAACTGTTTGATTTTGTATAATTTTAAAGAAGGAGCCGTAACAAATTAAATTTAAAATTAATGATCTGCAGTGTGCAATCTCTTTGCTTGTTTGTTTCTGTAGCTGTAGGGAAAGCTGTACTATCAGCATTAGCCTTTCCTCTTGTGCTGGAATTCTTGCCAAAACTTCTGCCATGCAATGTTTCTGATTGCGTTCAATGGTATGTCCATGAACAAAAACATTGCGAAGGTGATAAATTGACAACGCTGGAGAAAATCTTAAAGGAAGAGCCATGGAAACTTGGATTCAGCAAAGTAAGAACATGGATAAAATATTGCAGCAATTCATTTTGTAATTGAATTCATTTATAAATACAATCCAATTGAATAAATGTTACATTTCCAAAAATCTTGTTACTGTAAAATAATGCATTGTGCATTGGCATATCTTTGTCCCTAAAAGTTCACCGGGGATCTTTCAGGAGCAAGACAACTATATTCACTTCTCCTCCTTATAAACATTTTGAACATTTCTGTCATTATTATAATTGGATATTGGTATTAAGCACATGTTGAGGTCAACAGTCATTATTATACTGAGGATATACTGAGTCATTTCAATTTATTGAATGTGAGAAATCTTGTTATTTCAGCTGCATTTGGAATCAAAATGGTTTAAGAATGCATATAGGAAGGAATGTACAGGTTTTTAATCTTATATGCTGACTAATAGATTAATAAAATTTTAGAAGATCTGAGAATTTGAACTTTTCTTGCTTTTTGGAAAAATAGTACACTAATGTTTATGTAAGGTTAAAGTAACAGTATTTTGCTATCTCTGAAAGATGACGTACAGGGAAGTTCATGCTAAACTGGCTGAAGCATCTTTGAAGGACTTGCATGACTGCAAACATCTTTATCAGAAGATTCCAATTTTGCAGAGGAATGCATTAATGCTGTATGGAAACCTCAAGGAACGCTGCAGACAGTGTGGACATACATATGAAGAACGAGATAAGTTGACAGATATGGTATCAAAAAAGATGCCTGTGGAAGAGGCCTGGCAGGCACTCAAATTTTTGAAGGATGAAGGGATAGTGATTACTGAGAAGAAGCTTGTGTTTATTCCACGGCTTTATGACGCCGAGAAGCAAATTGCTGACATTGTATATAGGCTCAGACAAAACCCTCCATGGCACTTTCAGGTTGATGTTAAAGAGGTTCTTAATGATGGTTCATGTATTAATAACCTCAGAGACTCGGACAATGAGAGTGAAGTAAGTGAAGAAAAACCTTGTGAAAGAGATCCAAAGGAATCTGGCAATGCTTCACATGAACAGGAAAACTGTAACGATGATTTCGAGTCTGAGGAGCAAACTCAGAGCAAGGAATCAAAATGTGAAGCAGAAGTGGATCCAGATCAAGGAAAGGCAATAGAACTTATTTGTTCTAATCCAGTGACTGTAATAAGTGGCAAAGGCGGCTGTGGGAAAACCACAGTAGTTAGCCACCTTTTCCGCTTTCTGATGAAGAAAGAAAATGAAGAAGTTACAAAGGCCTGCAATGATTTCGAAATGGACATGGATGCACCCGAAGAATGGCAGACTTCCCATCAGTCTTCTAATGTGAAAACAAATGACTCTTTAAATATTTTATTTACTGCACCTACAGGGAAGGCAGCTGCTCTTTTGTCCAAGAAAACCAAGATTCCTGCTTATACTCTTCATCAGGTATGATTTATTTTTTTAAATCTTTCCTGTAAGGTGGTGCTTATTGCTGTACTTTTCAATGTTTTAAACAATTTGAATGTCTTGGAATAATTCACATATTTGTTAGAAAAACTTCTTGAGAGCCCTTTGATTGTTTTAAGGCAGATTTTTGTCAGTTGCACTAGTTGACAAGGCCCATGATGAGGACTGCAGTTGTTGAACATGTGAAAGCAAAGTTTGAGGGCTAGTTCAGCAGTGAGATACAGTTGGGGGTTGCTGAGACATTGTAACATCTTCAGCTTCTGCTAAGAGCACAGCTGTTTTCATTTTACTTTGGCAGAATATGGTGCTCAGTGCTTCCTTTAGTGCTAGACAGTAGAGTTGGGCCCGAATCACTGTTAATGAAAAGATTTGTAGTTTTCAGAGGGACATTTTCGTGTAATTTCCGAAAACAGAAAGGGAAGAAAGAGACAAAAAGACCAGTGAAACGAATTCAGAGAGATGATATTTTTGGAAAGAGTTAAATACACAAAATACCCAAGGCAGAGGCGTCTTTTTCTCTCCCTGGCAGAAGAAGCTTTCTCCATTCCCCCCCCCCCCCCCATAAAAGGTTCCCTTCTTCTCTAGAGTGGTCCCTTGGAACTCACTTTCCCAGTGTCACTAGCATAGGGTGGCCATTGAAAATTCCTCTTAGAGCATGATGGGAGTTGAAGTTTTTTCTCTCTCTCTGTCTCTCAGCCAATAAAACGCCTGGTGGTTTCCATGTTCTGATTGGCTGAGAATGGACACAACCAGCGACTACAATTTCCAGAACCTTCTCTTGTGATTTGTCTTATTTTGAAAAATGTTATGTTTAAAACTTAAAATAATTCTAAAAAATCACTAGATTGGTGAATTGTTTTGAAACTTGGCAACTTATCATCTTGATTTTACCTTGGGAAAGATGTGGATTTATATCATTTTTCTGAGTGTGTGTCTGGGGAGGCTTGTTTACAAGACACAGAGGGCTCTTGGTAGCCAATGGGGTTTGATTTCAGGACCAAAATCTGTGGATGCTGAGGGCCCGTTACATATAACACTGTAGTAAAATGACTTCTATAAAGTGGCAAAATCAAGGTTGGCTTTTTAAAATTCTGCTTCAAATAATCATATAGCAACCATGCATGTTATAGATTAGAGATTATACCTTGATCTGTGGCTTCAAGGATAATTTTAAACTGAGGTGGTCGTATACTCTGGTCTGTGGTTTGCAAGATCAGTGTAAATCATGGATTACAAATTCCAATCTCATAGTAAACTGTGGTTTATGGTCAGCATGAAACAGAAGATGAATCTGCTTGGGAAATTGACATGTTCATATCTGATCCTCTAAATCAGAAGTGGGATTCATGCAACCTTCTGGATATCGTTTTGTCATACGCTTTCATGGCCAGAATCACTCGGTTGCTGTGAATTCTCTGGGCTGTATGGCCATGTTCCAGAAGCATTATCTCCTGATGCCCAGACAGGAAGCAGCCAGGCTTTGAAGCTACAAGTCTATTCAATGCTAACCAAGTTGGCCAGTTGCAACACTCACACTTGCCTCCAGCAGACAAGAGTTCCTTGTCCCAGCCTGGACATTCCACAAATATATATAAACTCAACTTGCCTAGTTTCCAACAGACCTCACAACCTCTGAGGATGCCGGCCATAGATGTGGGTGAAATGTCAGGAGAGAATGCTTCTGGAACATGGCCATATAGCACAGAAAATTCACAGCAACCCATCTTCTGGATATCATTAGACTGTAATCCCTAGCAGCCCTAATGACAAGGAATGCTGGCAATTGAAACATCTGGAGGTGATTCCTACCTTTATTCTAAGTCAAACTTTTGCACCCTTCTTAATTTTTAAATACTGTGTTTTCTTTCAGGTCATGTACAGTTATTATGCATGGAGGGATAACGAGGGAGTCTCTCCATGGAAATTTTCTAGAGTCAATGTATTAGTAGTTGATGAAGGAAGCTTGGTGCCTGTAGGAATCTTAAGCAACGTTTTAAAGTACTTGTTCCGGAATGCCAGGCTTGCAAAGCTTGTTATTCTTGGTAAGTATAAGCAGTAGTGAAAAGTGAGAAAAATGAAATTTTATTTCACAATTCATGCAATTTTGTGAGAAAATCCAAACACTTTTTAGATCTTAGAGGTTCAAGCAGCAAGTGAATGCTTTCCCCTTTAATTTTGTCTCCATTGCATATGATATGTGGCTTAGTTGCCTACATACTTAATGTGTCCCTAAATAATTGAATACAGGGCTTTGTTATGTTATATTTATTTATTCTGTTGTGGGGCTGTTTTCATCTCCATACAAATCTAAGAGAAGTTAAAGCTCCACTTGTCTGTATTGAATTTTTTTTAATGGCAGACCCAAGTGAATATTTTGTTATTTTGAAAAGCCCAATCTACCAGATTCAAAGCTTTTCTGAAGTTACTTGTTAACCTCTGGCCTGCTATAAAATCTAATTGAGTACAATGTATATCCTCAAAAGTAAGCCTGCTGGTCTAGTTACTGCAGTAGACATTAACATAGTCAAAATCTTGATTTACAACTGAATTGAGACATATAATTGCAGTTGAGGCACAACTCAGTGGAGAATGAAATGGCATTGCTTGGGATGGAGGTAACTTAATGTTCCTTTTAGATATTTATCTTAGAGAACTCCAGTACACAGAAAAGAGATGAAGAGAAATACTTCTTTATGTTGTCTTTATGTCTGGAATATATTTAAAGTTAAATCAATCCTGTTCCCCATGGAAAGTATTTTAGTATTGCTGTATCATTGGGAGAATGACAAATACTTGTTCCCAAATATACTGTTCTGCATATTTTAATCACATTCTAGCTATCAAATCCATGCAACAAAAAAGGGGGTAGCATCTCTTTTAGTTTCATGTTATTACCCATCAAGAGTAGTTTGACATCACTTTAACAGCTAGGGCTCCATCCTGCGAATCCTGGATTTGTACTTCGGTGATGCACCAGCGTTCTTTGGCAGAGAAGGCTGAAGACTTTGTAAAACTATGACTCCCAGGATTCCACAGCAGCTAAAGTGGTGTCAAACTGCATTTTGTAGTGTAAATGTAGTTCTTAGTTCATATCAGGTACATTATACACGTTGGAACAATACTTGAAGGTTGTCATATAAGCCAACTCTGCATGGAGGGACTATACAGTCTATATACTGTATATACTCGAGTATAAGCCTAGTTTTTCAGCCCTTTTTTAGGCTGAAAAGGTCCCCCTCGGCTTATACTTGATTCAAGGTTATTTATTATTTTACTCTGTTGTTGTTGTTCTTGTTATTATTATTAAATGTATTATTTATGCTATTACTGTTATTACATTTCCATTAGTTTACTTTATTATTATTATTATTATTATTATTATTATTACTATACTACTACATTTATTATTTTACTCTATTATTATTGGAAGGATATGTAAGCACATTTACATTGAAGAAGGTTAGAATAATGGTTTAATCGGAGTTGGAAAGTCCTATCTTAAATTACAGTTTTATGTAAATATGATGCCTCAATTAATGTAATTGTATTGATATCTATTTTTATTCTGAAATTTATCAGTAGCTGCTGTATTTCCCACCCTTGGCTTTTACTCCAATCAATCTGTTTTCCCAATTTATTGTAGTAAAATTAGGCATCTCGGCTTTTATTTGGGTCGACTTATACTCAAGTATATACGGTATTTGGACTACAACTGAAAGAATTCTACACACACATCCATATAATATATGCTTAAGCTCCTCCATGCAGAGGGGGATTCTGGTGCACTCAAAATCCTTTGCCACATGGATGAATAATATTTGTGTTAGTCCCTTCTAAACACATAGAATGATAAGTATTGACCTTTATTTATAATTTGACCCCTATATCCATTAAAGTGGGATCTGCAGTTTCATTCAGACAATTACAACAAAATATATCCTCTAGGTATTTTCTGGGTTATCCAGCACAACTATGATATTCTTGAGCCAGAAGCCTTTCATTTCAATAGATTTCCCCCAGTTTTGCATATCCACAAAAAGTCTGGGAACATACCCTTGTGGATACTGGGATCATACTGTACCTAAAATCAGTTCTCAAGTGGGAAGATTTCAGCAGGCTTGAGGAAATCTCAGGTTTCGTGGAAGTATAAAAAATACATATGGAGAGGGGCATAAAAGCAATCCAGTGTGAAGACTGTTGGGTGAGTGGGCTTATCAACCAAAGACCCTCCTCATAAATGCACAGCAGAGTAACTTAGCAGCAACAGCAGTGTGACTCAGCACCAGTAGCCAAAAGTGAGAAAAAAACAAAACACACAAGAGCAATGTTATATCTTCCATAGAAGGCTTTTCTTTATAGTTAAATAATATAGTTACACTATTTACAATAACAAGGTTTCCACAACACAAATAAATCCTTTTATACTTCCTTCTTTGCTTCCATGCTGGGCTTCTTCCTCATACAGATAAACAGCTTCACTCTCGCAAAGCCTCTCACAACGAACTTATACTGGAGCTTCACACAGTAGCTTTTTACACACAGCATCCTTTATACTGGAGCTTTGCACATAAGGCTTTATACATGAGGCCTTCAACCTGGGGCTTATCTCATCAAAGCTTTTCATACCAGACCTTCTTACACCAGACCTTTTCATACTGAGGCCTACCTCAAAATCAGGCCTAATAACAATGAGGCCTATTGTCCCACTGAGGCGATTCTCACAAAGAGAGGCTTCTCTCACACTGAGAGCTCTCTCAGACTGCGGCACACCTGCTTATATTGAACCGCAGCATCTCTGAGCCACTGCATCCATTTAACCCTTTCAGTGCTTGACTCACATTTTTTGTAATCAAAAATGCCTAGTTAATTTTTAAAATATTTTTTACAAAGACAATGTGCTCTCATTGACTTTGGAAATGTGAAAGAACAAATTCAAAAGGGGAAAATAAGAGTGTCCAGGAACTCATGGTTGTCAGATATCCTTGATGTCAATGTGCAGTATTTTATTGCTGGTCACATATATAAAAGGATTTGATTTGTGTCAGTGCTCTGCTATGATTGATGTGGTTGGGGTTTACTATAAGCAGTTTATTAAGAAGGAAAGACAAATGTAATTTTATTGTTGAATATATATTTGCATTATATTTAGGTGATATTAGGCAGTTACCCAGTATTGAGCCTGGTAACACATTGGCTGACTTTTTTGCCAGTTTGAAATCAAGAGGTTGGTGTACAGAACTAAGGACCAACCATAGATCTGAGTCTCAGTTAATTGTGGAGAATGCAACAAGGTAAGATTTAAATAAAAATTGACATATTCAGTTGCTACAAATCATGTTTTATTGCAGCATGAAAAGTTGACTCCCATTAGTGTGCCCTTGAGCCATCTAAGTAGACATGAACAAATGTTTAGAAAGTTTTCTGTCATTGCACTATTGTATTTGTCACAGTACAAATGTGAGAAATAAATAACAAACGTTTGTATCTAGTGGCAATTTAAAAAATAATCTGTATCATTTAGAATTTTTCTGTCTGCCTGTTTTTTTCCATTTTTTAAATGATCCCATTATTTAGAATACTCTGTCAAAGTTAGCTCTGTTGGAATTGCATGGTTTTGCAACCATATGTATATTGTATAATGGGAGGATGCAACTGACTATATTTGTGTGTGAAATGAAATAAAGCTGATGTTAAAAATTTATCAAGCAGTCAGGTAACAAATGTCAGCAAAATGTTCATCTCTGACTAAATAATGCCTAACCAGTCTGAAACATTTATGTTTGCCCTTTTGATATAGAATTTCTCAGCAGAAATATCCAGTGTTTGATCAAGTGCTGAAATTTTCCCAAAGCGATAAAAGATGGCCAATACCAAGTCCCGAGAAAAAATTTATTCTTCTTGTTTTACCTGCTGAAGATGGTAGTAACTGTAAGTTTTAAATGTTAAAGATATCACTTTTTAACTACTGCTCATATCTAATACATGTGGGGTTGTTCAGATTAAGTTTAACTTATTACATAATTTAGGAGTAGAATCTTCTTAGTTTTTCATGCTCTGATTTATTAAAACAAAACAAAATTAGGACTACTGTGATCTTCTGAAATGGATCAAATTTTTCAAAGTCAGACATTATTTCTCAGTGGCTAATGTACAGCAAATCTGCGTTGTGATCCTGAATACGTATTACTAGTGATCAGGTCAAGTTCCCACCTATAATCCCCTTGTTGTTCTAAAGTTATTTTCTAGTTTCAAATAACTGGCACAGTTTTATCTGCTTCCCTTAAAAAGATGGAGTTGATTTAATATTCCACTATGTGCAATACTTTCAATTTGCTGAATGTAGTTTTAGGAGAGGGACTGGTTACATATACGAGGGTGAGTCAAAAATTATATGCACTCTGGTTGTACAATTTATTTTAATTCACTTTCAGAAAAGACAAATACATTATTTTTGGATATAGTCTTTCTTCTGTTCAATACATTTTGCCTGTCTGTCAATAAGGTCTCATATTTCCTAATTAAAAAATGTTTTCAGCTGAGCTGCAAGCCACAAGTGCACTGCTGTCTTCATGTCTTTATCAGTCATGAATCTTTGTCATCGTAGAGCTTCTTTCAGAGTCCATCAGGTCACACTCTGATGGGGTAAAATCAGGATTATAGGAAGGATGCTTTAACACTTCAAAACGAAGGTTTTGGATATTGTCAACAGTATGAACAGCAATTTTCAAATGTGCATTATCATATAACAACAGAGCACTCTGGATAACAGTCCTCTGTGTTTTGCCTGAATACTAGGCTTCATCTCTTCAGTGAACCCATTTGGTTCCCTGAAAGAAGCCCTACAGTGACAAAAAGTCATGTCTGATGAAGAGGTGAAGATAATCATGCATTTATGGCTTGCAACTCAAGCTAAAATGTTTTTAAATAAGGGAAACTTGTTGGCAGATGGACAAAACGAATTGAAAAACAGGGAGATTATGTTGAATTTATTTTAATCAACTTTCAGAAAAGGCAAACACATAATTTATTTGTCTTTTTTGAAAATTGATTAAAATAAGTTCTATAGCCAGAGTGTGGATAATTTTGTATTCACCCTCATATTACTTGAGACGTTGAATTACACCTGCAGTCATCCCTAACCTTTGGAAGGAGCACTGTCTGAAAAGCGAAGAAGGTGTGCAGAGATTCCCACTGAATCCAACCTTTACTCTCACATTTGGAACTTGAAGAGTCTTTTCAGTCTGTTAAGTAAGAGCATGGTCTGTGTTGGAATGAGAAGAGCAAAGGGAGCGCTTGCACTGTGAACCTTCCTCTTGAGCATAATAGAGAGGGGAGGGGATGGATTTGGCAGTATGGGTCTCTAAGTACTCACACTGGTTGTATGGAAGTTCTTTGAAGGCTCCACATTGTCCCACGTGTGAGATGCAGCTAGGCTTTGCATAAACTAATAGTCAATACATATTTTGCATAATTGAAAAAAAATAAAAATACCCATTTGTTCTGTTATTAATCCTTATCTGTTTTTTCTTGTAATTAGATTTGCAGTCAGCTATAATGGCTTTGCTTGAAAGTGGCCCAGGACTGCAAGATCATACACAGTCACAGTTCATTACTTTCAGAAGGTAACAAGTGCATGTGTGTAGACATGATAGATCTTCTATTGGCTGTGCACTAAAATGTACAGAGATAATTGAGAAGTGATGCTGCATGTCTTTTAATTATGGAGATGTACGTGGAAGGATTTTGCATTATGATATTTCCTTCAACCTTTATTCCTTTGCCGTCAATTCATTTTATTTATTTTCCAGTTGTTAGGGGTGAATCCTGGATAATATTGATCAAATACGACAACAAATAGTGACTAAAGGTAGAAATAGAGAAAGTATTCTCACAGAATAGGAGGCATAAGAAAGAAAAGATGTATTCAGTACCCTTAGGATGGTTAAGGGAGAGGTAATATATTATCAACTGAGCTGATAGAGACTAACCTGGGATTGGGAACACTTTGATTCAATTGGTGATGTAGCCTCACTACAGAATTCTAGCAGTTTGACACCATTTAAACTGCCAAGGCTTAATAGTACAGGATTCTGGGATATGGAGCTCTGTGATATATTTAGCCTTGCCAGTCAGAGAGCTGTGGTCCCACAACAGACTATAAATCCCAGATTTCTATAGCATTGTGTAATGATGGTATTTACTACCAACCTGGTATTGGTGGTTCCTAGCTTGCAGAGAAAGTACATGAATAGAATTCCTTCATAATAATGATAGTATCTTGTTAGCATTTGTAATACAAGAAAGGTTATGGTGCATGAGCATAAACCATGATGGTTTAAGTCCTAAACTGTTCTTATTGTTCCCCAAATGCATTTCTAGGCGTTCTTGACTTGGCTGCCTTATCCATCCTTTGATCAGTCAGTGGTTCTTATGTCCATTTACAGTAGTCTGAGCTTCTGTTAATAATAGTGACCTATAGTAATGGGAATGATATCGGGTGGTATCTTCCATGTAATATTTCTGTCAGATCAACAAAATTCAAAACTAAAGTGATTCCAGTATAGCATGGCCCCTGTATCGCAGAAGATAATGTTCCTGGGCTTCCTGTGGATATATAAAATTGCCAATAATAGTGAACCTATTAAAATGAAGGATTTATGGCCAAATAATATCATATGGTTCTGCTGGAGGATGTAGAAAATGTCTAAGGAGAACATACTTCACTGCATGTGGATAAATGTAACCACGGATTCCTGTCTCATTGATATGGACGTTGTTCTGTACTAACAGTATATAACTCTCATTCACTTAGCTGTTACAGCTTTTAATGATGGCATTAACTGCCCACATTCCTTTCTGCTTCTTCAGGTAGCTGTAGAATAAGCTGTAGGTAAAGTAAGCTGTTACTTTGAGTGGATAATTGAAGACTGAGATCAGAAAATATTGGTTTTCTGCTGTACTGAAAGTTTTACATATTTTAACTAAATATTGATCCCCCTTATTTCAGAAAAGACTGTGACATCATCAATGAAATCTGCTGCAAGCATTACTCAAAACATACAATGAGGTATGACATTATTTTTTATCTGTAGATGTTTCAGCCACAATTCAGTTTGTTCTGTTGTTGGGATTTTTTTTCCACCACTGGCAAAGATGGTGGTGAAAGCTAGATAAGGAATGTCATAAGAACAAAGTGACAAAGGCAAGAAAGTGATGGCAGGCCTGTAGAAATGCTTGCAGTTTCTGAGATGCCTGTTTGCAGATACCTGACTTCAAACCTCCTTAGAGGTGAGGCTTTCTGGGAGAGGTGGTTGAGAAAACTGCAGTGGAATAGGGTGTTTTCAAAGCTATTCTAACTGGCTAAATGGGTGGCAATTGTTTGGGTCCTCTTTTATCTGTTAGTCCTTTGTCATCTTCTCCATTCACTGGTTTTACCATTTCCTTATTCTTCCTTTTGCTATAGCTTTAGATTGTTCTGCACCTCAACCTCTCAGATTTTTTCCGTCATGTGATAGCTGTTTGCTTGAATTATTCTTTTGTGATTTCCCCCCTTCCTTCATTTTTTTTGTACATGTCTTTTAAAAAATCTACTGAAACTCTGAAATCAGTATCTCACTTTTTTAGAAACACTAATCCATCATGAATTCCCTTCTCTATTCTTGACCAAGGGATTGCATCTAATGTTTCCCTAGGTTTACTCAAATCAGATTTCTTAAAATTCTAGAATGTGTGTCTGATTATATTTTGGCTTCCCTTTTCTGCTGTATTAAAACTTGAGGAGAACATGGTCATGCCCACCTAAAGATTCTGTCACATCTACATCATTAACCAGATCCTCGCTGATAGTTAGGATCAAATTTAAAATAGCTGATTCTCTTGTTGCCTTTTCCATCTTGTGGACAATAAAATAGTCTGCAAGGCAAGTGAGCAATTTGTTAGATCTAATGTTGGCCTATTATATCATATTTGCTTTCCTGTGTGGTGTGTCCTGGGGAAGGCATTACATTTTGTTGTGAAATAGCACAATGACAATAGAGCTATTCTAATCTATTGTACTATTTGCACTGTTATCTCTATAACATATAGCACTTGATGAACTCCTGCACTCAAGAATATTATTTCCCCCTTGTTCTCTTTAAATGAACTTGTTTCTCTGCTTGATGGTTCTCATCCATTTCATACCATTAATGTGTATATTTAACATGTTATATGAGCCCATCCAGGCAATTTCAGGATCTTTCACATATGCAGAATTTAATAAGAACATCAGCCATGGCCTTATCTTACTCAACTGCTGAGTATGCCTTCCTCATCTGGCATAAATATGCCCACACGAAGCAGGTGAATATAACACTAAATGAGACATATAGAATACTCACAGGATGTCTTAAACCTGCCCTGTTGATAGACTCTATAAGCTAGCTGGAATTGCCCCCCCCCCTCCCCGGATGTGCAACGGGAAGTTGCTGCCAATTGCGAGAGAAATAAGGTTGAATATTTTGAAAGCCTCACACTATATGACTATCAGCCTCCTCCCAGTAGACTTAAATCAATGAAAAGATTCATGAGAACCACCACTCCTCTAAATGTTTCCCCAGCAACAGCAAGAATATCCCTGTGGGCATAAAAATCAGGAAATTCCAATGTGTCCCCCCCCCCCCCCCCCCGAGGGTTTTCCTCCAGGGGCAAACCAAGAATGGGCAATTTGGAAGAAAAGAATCTGAAGCGGAGTTGGCAAAAGTCAACCTGGCAAAATGGAACTACCTAAAAGAATCTTCCACCTTGTACGACTTTGGAGCAGAACAATCAACTCAGCATCTATATGCTTGCCCACATTGTCCTGCCTCACACACAGAGGAAGAATTGTTTAAAGCTACAGACAATGCAGTTGCTGTTGCCCGTTTTTGGTCTAAAACTATCTAGCAGCTTGTGATCCCTTTATTTTATCAATTTTAGATATACTATTTTATCCAATGCTTTTGACATGAAATAAATCAATAAATACATGTGAAATGGTCTTTAATTGCAGTTGTTTGCCCTGACAAAATTATAACATCCAAATTTCAGGAATTGATTGGTTATTTAACACAGCAGGATTATATTCAGAATATAATATCCCCTCCCCCAAAGTATTTTAATCATAAAATACGGGAACCCTCTTGCTAAGTTGTTTCATACCTTTTCTAAAGAGTTTCCTCAATGTGTTGGAGCTCTGTTCTTTTTAAGCTTAATTCTAACTGATGTTGCATTGCTGCTGGATCTGTTTCAAACCGCTTGGTTTCTATTCTTGGTTACCAAATACAAGGTCTATAGCAGTGGTTCTCAATTTGTGGGTCCCCAGATGTTTTGGCCTTCAACTCCCAGAAACGCTAACAGCTGGTAAACTGGCTGGGATTTCTGGGAGTTGTAGGCTAAAACAACCGGGGACCCACAGGTTGAGAACCACTGGTCTATAGTAAACAGAAGGCATTACTGTGCTCTCTGCACTTTTTGATGATTTACTGAAGGACAGATCTTATTGCATCTTTAGTCTAAAATCTTCTGTTCAATTTTGATCCAGAAACCATAAGAATCGACTCCAGTTCGTATGTGGTGACAAGATCTGTTCTACTAGGAATGAGTATGTTAAAATGCTTCTTGCGAGAGATAATATTGTTTGCACAAAAAATGAAGGTTCTGGTCTGTGTACATGCAACGTGTGCTTGCGAAGAGAAGAGCGCATCTCTGGTCATACACCAAGTTCTCAGGGTAATGATGATACACGGTTGTGCAATGGGGAAATATTCTTCATTACAGAGGTATGTGAATCAGTGGATTTTAAGAATAAATCTAGAAGAGAAGATACACATTTATTTTCAGTCACAAATGAAGAGAGCATTGCCTCTTCCTTTAGTATGCACTTCTGTTTGGTCGCTTGAAAACCCAAATAAATAGATATTATTTTCTGAATTTTAATACAGAAGGATAATAGTAAAAGTTGTTGTGCTTTGTAAAGAAATTAAATCTTAGCTGTGTTAGAATGTCAGTTTCTCTGAATGCTGCTCAGTAAATACTGGATTGAAAAGCAGTATGATTACACGAAGGAATAGAGGATCTTAATATAAGGAAAAGCTCTGCTCCAGATGTTCTACCCAAAACTTTATGAGCAAACAGTTTAATTGTGATGAAATGCATTTTAGTTTCTAAAAATGCCACTGGTTATGGTGGATTAAGGCACTGTCCTGCATTTAGTTGGAAGATAAGTGGTTTAAAAGGAATTATCTTGTGCATTTATTTTGTCTAGCTGTGAGACAAATCGTAGGTAAGAAGATAGGTTGGATGCTTTGGATCCAACCTATCTTATAGACTGCATTTCCTTTTATGAACCAGCATGAGCTTTTAAGATATACCGGGTAGGCCCTCCTCTCCATCCTACCTCTGTTTCAAGTGTGGTTGGTGGGGACGAGAGAGAGGGCCTTCTCGATGGTGGCCCCCCGGCTTTGGAATGCCCTCCCAAGGGAGATCAGGCTAGCCCTCACCCTCCAAACTTTCCGCGCACAATTAAAGACCTGGCTTTTCCAACAAGCCTTCGACCATGTTTAGACTTGCTAATATATATATGAGGACCTTTAGATTCTTTATTAGCATTTTATACTTCTGAGATTGAATACTGCTATTTTATCTACAGCAATTGCTGTATTCTCTTGTTTTTACCGGAGGTACTGTGAATTTATGATGATGTTGATTGTTTATTGTCTACTCACATGTTTTGTTTTCCACGTGCTGTATTTTGCATGTCACACTTTTAGTGTTTTGTGAGCTGCCACGATTCCCTCTGGGAAATCGTGGTGGGATATAAATAAAAAAATATTGGTGTTGTTGTTGTTTACTGATTATTGTCTTATCTAGGATAAAGAAGTTGATCGTGTACGCATGGTGACAATTAGCATTACTGATGGACCTGAGTATACCGTGGTGTATAAACGTCTCCTGAAAAACTCCAGGATTAAGCATGGCTGGGCCAAAACTATTCATACATTTCAGGTAGGCTGTGTTATAGTCCTGCCATCCTGAAACAAAACTGCTGACATAACTTAGCAGGAGCAGCAACATTTATGAGTCAAACTATCACATTTGTGAGGTGTAGATGGTGTAATTCTCCATCTTAGAGAGCTGTGTAGTGGAAGCAAACCTCAATGAGATCTGTTATATGTTGTCTTGACCTTGTTACAGCATTAAGCTAAAAGGTAGTGATCCATTGTATAGTTTATATGAAATTTTAAAAAAGGTTACTTGCCAAGTCTCCTGGTGTACTGTCAGATCAGCAATGACATTGTGGAAAGTTGAGAAGCCAACAATTACACATGACCTTATCAAATGACTTGTAAAAATTCATTTGTGTCTCTTTGGAAAAATCTGGGAAACAGAATAGATAAAATTGTGTAGCATTGAAATATGGTTTAATCAGCCTTCTGTGTCCACGGAGTCTGCATTCACAGATTGCACTATCCACAGCTTGAAAATATATATTTCTTAAATTCCAAAAGGCAAAGCTCGATTTTGCCATTTAATATAACAGATATGACTTTACTACACCATTGAATATAATTAGATTTGAGCACCCATTGATTTTGTTATATATGGATGGACCTGGAACCAAACCCAAAAAGATAGGGGACCACTGTACTTTCTTCTAGGGTTTTTGTTTTGTTTTGTATTGTTTAAGGCCTTTGGGAATACCAGATGAGGGGTAGCTAGAGACACCATACAATATGGAACTTTTTAATTTATTTTAAAGTTCTTTCATTCATTTGGACCTTCTTTTTTCAGCATTTTTTTGTCAATATTGTTTTCAGGGTTCTGAGGAAAACACAATTGTCTACGTTGTTGGAAATGCCGGTCGCCAGAATTGGCAGCATGTGTACACAGCTGTCACCAGAGGCCGTTGCCGGGTCTATATTGTTGCTGAAGAAGCCAATCTTAAAGCAGCCATTGCTAGAGAAAGTTTCCACAGAAAGACTCGTTTACCACAACGTTTGAACAATGCACTTACAGAAAAAATAAGTAGTTCTCAGCAAATATCCTCATCACAAGAGAGTTCTCTGACTCAAGAGGCCGACACTTGTTCTGTTCAACAAGAGGAGTCTGTAGTTTCTGACAAAATGGAAATTGACAATGGATTCAAGATACCAGTTGGCACAGTTGATGCTGCAGAGCAAATTCCAGGTGATCGCAAAAGGCAAAGCGAAATTCCACAGGATTGTTCAAGTCCATCGAAAGTTGCTTTGGTAAGATGTTTTACTTTTTTTTTTTCAAGTTACACTGAGAATCCTGAGAAATTCAGTAGGCCTTTCAACCCTTGAGTTGTTTTATTCCTGAAAATGTAGTAAAATTACTATCACAGCAAGTACTCTCAGTATGAAACAAAAAGTTGGGGAGGATGTTTGATCACAGCACCCAGGGTTGTCCACCCTCACCTAGTGTCTTGATGTTATGATTGTATCATCTGTACTTGTCGTTCTATCGGCACCCACTGTGTCCTACCTGTAAGCTGTAGAGCTAGCCCTTCCAATTTTGCAAGGGTTAGGGTTCCAGCATCCCCTCCCCAAAAAAGGGGAAATAAATTTCAAAATCTCTGGGCAGGGAGCAATGGGGTGTGAGGAGTGAACATGCTGTGGTCCCAGCTGAACGAAGGAGCCCTCCTTCCCCCCACTACCACTTTACTTATCTTCCAGAGTACTGTGTGTCTGTTTTGCCAGTCATTCTACCTGGGTCCTGAATAACTTGTGGAGAGGAGCAATACAAACTCACAAATAATCATAACTGAGAGTTGTACCTCCCTTTTTTATGTAGGCACTGCATGACACTCCATGCAGTCATGCTGGCCACATGACATTGGAGGAGTCTATGGACAATGCCGACTCTTCGACTTAGAAATGGAGATGAGCATCATCTCCCCAGAGACGGACATGACTAGACTTAATGTCAGGGGAAACCTTTACCTTTATCTGTGAGCCACAGGAAGTCTTGGCATATATCCGCTTTGGATGTGGGGTTGTACTGTACTTTGTTTGAGACTGATGTAGGGCAGGGAAAGGATACAAAGGGGCCACATAACATTGCCATTATTTTTCTTTATCTTCACCACAATGAGAATGGTTCTTATGCTCCCCTAAATCCATCTTTCTCAACCAGCATCTGATTGTATGGTGTCTTTTTTTTACTGTTTCACAGATAAAGGAAGAGAACAAAACATCCCCCCTTGCAACTAACTTGCTCCAGAGTTTGACACTGAAGAGTGCAACTCCCAAGAAACTTTTTTCATCATAACAAGTATACAATGTAGTTAAAGATGCTTTATATTGTATTTCTTCCCTTTCTTTTCTTATGGAGCTACAATATTTTAAGACAGAACTCCAAAAGTATTGATACTCTATTTTAAAAGTTTCTGAAACTTCAAATAAGTGTTCTTGGTTTTTAAACTCCTTTAATACCATCTTTCTTATTACCAGCCCTTCACATTCACTGCAGTTAGGGGCTCATGACCATTGTGAAAGTGAAAAACGGCAAAAAATGGTTTTACATGACAACATCTCTAGGAATTTCTAGCACAACTCTATGGTCCTCTAGCACAACTCTATGGCCAACTTCCACTGAAAGTTGATTATAGAATCACACTGGAGGACCTAGGAATTCCTAGAGGAAACATTTTAATCAAATCCATGAAAAATCAAATCCAAGCTCAACCTGGAAATAATAGGGGTCAAATGTATGATGTTTTTCTCTCCACCTCAAATGGAAGAAATGCAGTTGACAGTCTTTTTTGTAGATATCATAGATTTGAGCCATATTTGTTTCGATAATACATATTCTTTATAAAGACAACCTATTGGTTTTGCTTTACGGGACTCTAAATTCTGGGTTAGCACTATTTGCTTGAATTTCTCTCAGGCAGAGTGACAGGATATGATGATTATGCTAAACAAATGGGGGTTTTTTAAAACTCCTTTAGCAAAGTCTGAAGCATTGCATGCTCAAACATTATGAGCTCTTGAAGGAGCTGCTCACCTTTTGATCCCATAATAGTGTTTTCAAGGTGCTGCTAAAGCACATTCTGGTGGAAATCGTCAACAGGGTATAGAAATCTTGCTTCATTCTGTTTTTCAAAGTAAGTCTTTCCGTAGAATTTTTGCTATAAGGGGGTCAAAACTGATTCGTTGCCTGGACATGTTCCAGGAAATCCTATTCACATTTGCCTCTGCTTCTGAAAGGATACACTTATAGATTGTATCCTGATCTAAGACGCAAATGCAGAACAAATGGTAGACATCCTTTTAATCAGGTTGTAACAATTGGAATGTAGGTTGTTGTGTGTTTTCTGGTCTGTATGGCCACGTTCCAGAAGCATTCCCTCCTGACGTTTTGCCTGCATCTATGGCAGGCATCCTCAGAGGTTGTGAGGTCTATTGGAAACTAGGAAAACGGGGTTTATATATCTGTGGATCATCCAAGTTGGGAGAAAGAACTCTTATCTGTTGGAGGTAGGTGTGAGTTTAGCAGTGTGGACAATTTCAACAGAAAGGAAGAAACCATGAAAATGAACAAAATCTGGCTACCAGTATTAAAAAACTCTAAAATCATAACAGTAAATAAAGAACAACACTCAAGAACAGGGGAATTCCAGACAAGAAACAATCAAGGGCCAACTAATCACCTCCCAATAAAGGATTCCCCCAGGCAGTAGGAAGCTAGACCTTGAAAACTGCTAGGCCATTAAATGCTAATCAAGGTGGCACATTGCTACAGTCACACCCACCTCCAACAGACAAGAGTTCTTTCTCCCACCCTAGATATTCCACAGATTTATCAACCCCATTTTTCTAGTTTCCAACAGACCTCACAACCTCTGAGGATGCCTGCCATAGATGCAGGCCAAACATCAGGAGAGAATGCTTCTGGAACATGGCCATACAGCAGCACGCAACAACCCAGTGATTCCAGCCATGAAAGCCCTTTGATAATACATTTGTCTGAATGTAACTTTTTGCATTGTATAGGTCAAGTTTCTAAAAGTATAGGCCAAGTTTTTAATTCTGTGCAGAATGTATAATGATTCAATCTGCTTTGGGGATGGCTAGACCTCCAGATGGATCTGGTGTACAACTGCTATCAGCTGCAGGCAGTGAGGTATCATGGAAATGTTCTCCAGTCCAGAGAATTTTCCTCCCCAAATTGCACGATTGAAAGGGGGAGGAAAGTCTCCTTTGTATAAGATTTCTCTTGCTTGCTGTTCTCAGCACCCAAGCCTTTGTCTTTAAATGACTGTTTATTTCATTTTTTTACATTTTCCATACAAATTTTTGTAACAGTTCAAATTTGCAGAAACCATACATAGACGATAAATATCATGCTATTAAAGTATTAAATTTGTACAAAAATACTTTAGTTTAATACTCATTTGTTTCAAATAAAAATACATATTAAGTGGTTCATGATTTTGGGTTTCAATTTCATTTTGAATGAATTTCCTCTGGCAGTGCTGAAGTATGAAGAAAACATTTCACATGTGTGCATAGGGTCAGGTAAGCTTGCTTATATAACAGGTTGAGGAAAACAGCATTAGGGGTAGTTTGACAATTCCAAACATATGAAAAAAAAATTGCTATTTAGGATGATATGAAGACTCTACAATTATAATGGACAAATCCAGTGTCTTTCCAGTCACCAAGTAACATTACCATAACAATACAGTAAACAAAACCAAAGCAGCTGCTGGTGAATCTAAAAAGCAACTGGCATTTTATTGCTTTGAATGGTGGGAAAAAGGAGAGAATTTGGGTGGCTGTGTGCAAAATGTATTTACAGTTTTGAAATTAATTGCCCAATATGATAAGAATCAATGATATTTGACAAAGCTGTTGAAAGATTCTGAAAACCCATGAACATACAATTTGTTTGAATTTTAAAATGTTCTGTAGTTATAGAAGTTAATTCGTGTATACCCTAAACTGGGCAGTTTGTATGGTTTTTGCATCAGCATTGTTGCTTCTATAGTTCTTTAAAAAAGAAAGAAATCCCACTTGAATGTTTGTGGTAGAAACGTCTTTGAAAATTTCACTAAAACAGATTTTACTGTGTTAAAACCAGTAATTCGTCAGAGGTTCCAAATATCTAAATGTCAGAAGTTCATACAGGCTGCAAGACATATCCTGTTCAATACATCATTGCATAGGGAATAATATAACTCCTAAGAAAACCAGACTACCGCTGGGCAGTAGCACTTTGCCCCTTTGCACATCAGGTTCCTATATGCACTTTTGCTAAAAGCACATCATTTTATCTTCCCTCCCCTTTCCCTTATAGCAGAGGAAACAACAGTACAGGTCTCAGAAAAGCAACTACTATGATACAGTAATCTAGATACAGCAGCAAAAATTCAAGGTTCCTTCACTTAGTTACCATTCGTCTTCAAACATGTTCTATGTTTTGAATATCATACCCATAGACTAATGATTTACATTTGGGGGAGGGGGGATTTTAAAAACCCTGAAGAGGTTTAGAAGAGCCATCTTTCATTTAACTGCAGCCATTTTCACTGTCAATTTTGCACTTGCTTTCTTTTTTTATATAAAAAGGTCAGTTTGGAAATGGCACTATTTGTGGTCATAAAAAATAAGCAGAACGAAACTCCTTTTCGGAAGCAAGTAACAAATAGTGAGCCTTGAGAAATAATAAAGACTCCCCTGTGCTTCTTAATGCCACATAATAGCTGTGTCTCCAGTATATCCGAAATCAGAAAGGGAATTAGCACCATTTAAATGTCTTACACGAATACAGATATTTTTTTTTTGGCTATAAAGTATTCGTTGGTTCCCGCTTCATCTCCAAACCAGAGTTGTGTATGCCTGGTTGAAGAAAGGCATTGTTCTGGTCGTTCCACTCCCCGGTTGTGAAAGTGTGTTGCTCGGAACTGATCTTTTGGGAGGCTATGGGATTTCGACTAATTACCAGTTCCAGTTTGTTACCGGACTCCGCTATAAGGGGAACTACTAGGCAGCAGTCAAAGTCTCTTGTGCGGACATGGTTTACCTGAAAAGAAGAAAAACGACCATTTTAGATTAAAGAAAAGCCAACCAAAAAAAGTCTTTCCCCAGAAGGATTAAGCATCAAACAAGTCAGCACTGAATTACAATAACGTAAAATGAGTGATTATTTAAGTAGCTTGTTCCTTGGGTTGCCCTTAAGCTTATGAATGCATTGTTCTAAAATATTAGATAAAGGAAAGAAGGTTTCGTAATGTTGAGATTAGCTGTGTAAGTATTGCTCTTTCACAAAAGCTACCAGCCAGAGCTCTATATGACCATAACGTACAGTGTTGCACCGTAACAACATTGGTGTTGTAGTTCAGAGAGATGAAGATGAAGGAATTGGGGTTTCAGAGCCTGGGAGAGTGATAGATGGTTTTTTAGATGAGGGAAAGGAGAGGATTTCAGAGCAAGATTCTGTCTGTGAGACTGAGTTTGAAAGTGGAACTGTTTTGGAGTCTAGCAGACAGGGAGAGGACCCTTCACCCACAAGGAGCTTACCAACCCCTGATAAAGGCCTGACAGACCAAGATAGCTCCTCCGAGGGAACAGCTGGGTTAGACAGGGATACCAAGCTGCATCTAAGGGGGAAATGCAGGAAATCCAAAAATATTCGTGACAAAGAAGCACGGAGAAAAAAACCTGAAGGTCAAAGAAATGCCTTCATGTTTTGCAGCCCTTAAAGCAGAGAGCGTCTTGTTGAGATTTTAGATCAGGCAACACTGCTGAATAATAAGGATGTCCAGTTCATGTTTTACCTCCTGGGAGTTATGATTTCTTGTTTGAAGAAGTTCTTATAGACTGAGCCCCACCCCACCTCCCGGTCCCGGGGGTGAGAAGGGCGGGGTACAAATATAGGAAATGAATGTATTCATGTTCATGTTTTGATTCTTGTTTTCCTGTACCATTTGGATTATTGCCTTTGAAGTGTTTTCACTCCTCATCAGCTTGGCTGGGGTTTGACATATCGACTACCTTTTCTGATTACCTGTTGGATTTTGCCTTTTTCCTTTTGGTGATTTTTCCCCTTTTTATGAACTTTCTTCAATAAACCATTTTACTACTATTTTGAATTCCTGGTTGATGCTAAGGGCAAGGTGAACTCTGGCTGGGGTGCAACAATTGGTTCATAGTGAATTCTGATGTGACTGCCCCCAACTCATCTTATCAGTAAGCAGTGGCTGAGATCTACAGGGATCTGTTCCCTGTCAATTGAGACATCCCCATCCCCTTCCATGAGCAATCTTCAGTGAAACAAGGAAAGGAGCCTCCCTGTTGCAAATCCTCCTTAGACAGAGATTGCTCATGCAGGGGATTTGTGAGAATGTCAGGCTGCTGTTTCTTTATGGACAGGATAAGAGAACCTATTGCTTGCAGCAACTATTTACTGGTAGGTGTGATTTAGGGAACTTTCACAGCTCCTACATAACCTCTAAATGAGGGGTTGTATAGGGATCACAAATATCTAACTGTAGGCTATATATCTGCAGTTGCCCAACAGGAATCCACCATAGCTTT